AGGGCCAGGGCGAGGCGGGGTGGGAGTGGGGCACAGCGGGTCTCGTGTCCCCATGGCACGCAGAACTGTGTGGAGCAATGTCCCTTGGGGAGCAGCCGACTGCAGAAACCTCCCTGAGCGCCCCTGCGCGTGGGGATGGGGGAGCGGAGTCGGGGGGAAGAGGGTCGGCAGGCAGCGAGGGGCTGTGCCTGGGCACCCAGCCGCAGCTGGCAGCTCCCGGGATGGGGGCAGTGGGGGGCAAGGGTGGGCTGCAGGGGGGCACAGAGCAGGCAGGAGTGAAAGCCGAGGGGGAGCAGGCAGGCCTCTGTGAAAACACAAGGGAGAGAGAGGCAGCGGGTGTCTCGGAGAGTGCATGGAGCGCTGCTGGGGTCAGGGAGCAGAGGAAGGACAGTCCCGTTGGAGGGAGCCCAGACACTCCGGGAGTCGCTGACACCGGCGAGAGGAGCCACGGTCCCCGTGAGGTGAGTCCTGCGTGGGTCGGCCGCTGCCCCCCGTGCCCCTTCGAGTCCCCAGACTGGTCCCTGCCAGCAGCAGAGGATGCACCACTTTGTCCCATTTCTTACACTTTCCTTAAGTATCTGCTGCTGGTACCTGGGGTAAGGGATGATAAATCCTTTTGGGTGGCAGCTTCTCCATTCTCTCCTGTTCCTGAAGTCTTGTTGCAAATATCTTTGCTCTGGTGCTGACGCTCGCAGCCCCTCAGTCATCTGGCCCCTCCGGCCACGCAGAGCAGCTCCTGCCACCCGGCACTGGTGGCAGTGGGTGAGCCTCGGCAGCACCCGCTGGCTCTGACATCCTGGGTCAACAGCAGCACTCAGCTTCTCCGGTTAGTCTGGCATCTGCTTGTAGGAAATCTGTTAGGACAGTATCTCAGTAGCTCAAAGTTTAGCATGTTTTCTGTAAAGCTAATGTTTTTCTCGTTGTTTCGTAGGATGTTGTAAACCCAGATGCGGTTGTCGTGCCCTCGGTACAGCCCCAGGATGGGGAAGAAACTCCCCTCTAAGCTTTTTCTGCAGCTCTTTCAGTGCTGTGTCCTGCAACATTTACACAAATTGCTGTTGATTTGTGCCGGTTCGGATGTTCACTTTTTTATTGTACTCCTCGAGTACCACAACCATCTGTCACGTTTTACTAAAACAGCTTCTCAGTGTGCAGCAGACAACTGAAATAAGCCTGTATATGCCAGCCCAGGAAACAGCACTCCTTCGTAATTATGAAGACAGTAATTGCAAGGATTGTTCCACAGCTGTCATGTTTGTTTTTCCCAAAACACAGAGAAATATTGGACTGGCTGAACCTCCCCTCCTCCCCCAGGCACCGCTTGCTTCTGCCGGCTGGTGGGAGGGAGGGCTGAGGGTGATGTGCTGTATGTGTTTCCGTAGGACAAGTTGTTTGTCTGTACAGAGTGCTGGTGTTTGACTGTATCTGTGTCTATGTACTGACTGCATTTTTCTGTGTGTCATTTGCCTTTCTGAACTACAAACTCTTCACTGTGAGTCAGGCTGTGTCTTCATTGCTGTGCATAGAGCACTTGCGCACATTAATGCTTTGGTAAGAGCATCTGGGGGTGTCCAGCAGAGATGTGGAACGGCAGGATCATGGGGGGAATGGTGGCTTCACATAGGGGGTTTTAGCTTGGGGGGCTGCCTCCACCCCACGTTACAGGCAAGCAAGCCCTCCAGCGTGCACGGGTGCCCCGTGCTGCCAGGTGGGTGGCATGCAGTGGGGGCTTCTCTTTCCTCCGGGATCCAGGCTTGTTGCTGGCCACACTTCAGGGTGTTCTTGGGACTTTGAAACGTTGAAAATTGTTAAATCAGACCAATTCTAATGTGTATTTGTAAATGAATAAAGCCTGGCCTTTTGCTTTTGCTGGTGTCAGGAGTAACTCCCTGGGCCCACAGAGTCTGTGCTGAAACTGCAGGAGGGGTGGTCAGTGTAAAGCTGTTTCAGCCCAGCGCTGGCTGCGGCTCTCCGCTGCCGGAGTCTCCCTTTCAGCTCTGCTGCACCGCCAAGGGCTCCCCGAGACCCTGCCGGGCCGCGGCGTCCAGTGCTGGGTGCGCAGCAGCCTGGCAGGCATTGCCGGTGGGCTGCAGGATGCTCAACGCCTACACGGGGGACTCTAACTGTGCTTTCAATGGGGAAATGGAACTGAAATGTGCAGGATTTTGAGTGGGTTGTTACTGTAAGTCACTTAAGATCAGTATACATGGGATAGGAAATTTAAATGTGATCAGGTAATTCATGTTTGTTCCCTCCTGTACTAAAGATGGTTGCATCTGATTTTCAGTCTGGATACCAGGAAGGGTTTTGAAAGAGAAAAGTAGGCAAAAAAGACTAATAATAGCTTTACAGTCCTCAGCAGTTCAAATGAAAGCATCGCATCAAGCAATCCTGAGTGCTGCGGTTGAAATGTTTGTTCTGTGCAAGATATGCAATATTTGTTTACAAAGCACGTATTTGACTTTTGACCATTCAACAACGGTCTTCTCCTTTTAATCAGGGAATGTCCATAAAATCAGAAGTGGCTTATTCACTGGACCAAGACATTTTTCAATGTTGTTCAATATAAAAAAAGTGCAGTAAATAGATAATCAGTGTTTACATACTCTACAGTTGAATACACCTGGTATGTGAAGTGTTCAGAATTTAAATTCATGCTAATGACCTTCTCCAGAGGTTTGTTTTTTCCGTATACACATGCACACCTGCACATTTACTTGGGTCTATAAAAGTACATGTACCGGTCTGTGTAGTTCCTTGAATTTTTGCAAATGATTTCACTGTAAGAAGAATACTTGCCAATCAAGTAGGGCCTGGTCTTCAGTATTTATCTCTGCTTTCTAACTGGATGACTAATGTTGGGTTGAATATTTGTGTCACAAAAACTGCATCACGCAGATACCTGTGGAAAGCAAATGCCTGTGGCTCGTGAGCATGACTGTACCAAAGCCATTTACAAATGCATGTTCATCCATGTGGGTTGCAATTCAAGTGTTGCAGATGAACAAAGGCAGAGGGAGGAGTGCAGGGATTTGCCTTAGCAGGGATTCCCTTGAAGGGTCAGGATTAAAACTAAGGCTGTACTTGGGCAGATCATGAACCACACTGGTTTATTTGACATTTAGCTGCTTAACACAGGATAAGAATGTGAGAGGGAAGAGGTTTGATTCATTTGTTGCAGGTGAGTGCTGGAGCGATCTGCAGAGCATCTCAAAATTAAATAACACTCTTGCTCTGCAAATGGCGAGCACCATTGCAGCGCTGGCTCTGTCGCGCTAAGGGGGCTGCAGCCACTCGTGCTGCCCGAGGCAGAGGTCCCCTCGGGGCTACGGCCCTGCCCAGCCGATTCCTTTCGAGGGGCTGCTCTGCGGCATGTGCTGAGCAATGGGAGGGCGACGGCTGAGCCCCCCGGGCAGCGCTGTGACTGAGGCTGCCCGGGGCAGGTGGTCCTCAGGGCTGGCAGCCATCGCTGAAGCCGGTTTCTCCTCCTGGTGCAGCCTCTCGCCAGCCGCCCGCCTGCACTCCCAACACTTGGGCCAGGAGGGAGGGTTCTGTCCTTGGGGGTAGAAGCTGCTTTCAAAGAAATCCGGCATTCAGAACACACTGAAGGTGGTTAGGTACAGTACTGAGTTTGCAGCAGCAGACGGCAACTTAACTAGATCCACTTCAGCCTTTTAGAAAAAAAGGCAAGTGTTGGTAACCAAGAGGCAGCTGAACTCCCAGGGCACTCTTGGGCTGCAGAAGATCTGGGGCATCAGGGAAGCCCCAGATGAACAATGCAGTAGTGATTGTAAGGAACTGGAAAGCTGACAATTCGTTATTTAAAATACTTAAAATATTTATAAATGGCACTTGTGTGTACGATTTTAATAATTAGGGAGATGAATCCTTTTGTTAGGAACATGCCGACTCATGCAAGTTCTTGTATTGCTCTAAAAACCCCCATACTTCAAGTACTTTGGTTTTATACACTGACGGAAAAAAAAATATCAAATTTCCCAAGAACACTCCATAATTTCTGAACTTGTATTATATTGATGAGATCCTCTGTTTTCTCATTGTTCTTTCTGACAGCCATATTTACATGATAGATACAGGTGAGGTTTGATCTGTGGTAAGGAAACAGCCCTTGCCCTATCTTGACAGCTCACACCCCGTGATGTACTGGACGGTTTCCCCCCGCTCCCGTCCTCGCCTTTTCCCTCACTTGTTTTGCATGCTGGCAGTGCCACAGGTGGCTTGTTGGTGCCACACGGCTGTGGGGTGACATGAGCCAGATTTGTGCCTGGGACACTGCAGTACTGTTCATTTGTCTGGCTCCTTTAAGGCAACTGATTTCTAAAATGGTCAGAGGACTTGAACCAGATGCAGAACGGAGTTGAATTTGGCAGTTTCAGCTTCAGAGACCTGCTCTACTGCTGTTGGTGTGGCTGTTAAAGATGTACCATTCATGTACTTTCACAACATGGGTGTGTATGTCTGTAATGGGAGCAGGTGGAATTTTGGTAAGAAGCAAAACCATCAAAATAGATACTTTTACGGTTTTGGAAATGCTATCCATGGTAATTTCTGCTCTCCTATCCATTGCTAGTTAGTAATTAACTTCAAGTGAAAAAATGCAGGTGGCACTTAGGGAAAAACACAACATGTGCCAAAAAAAAGGAGACTAATTATTAAACTGAACATATGTGAGAAAAGCAAACTATCTAACAGTGTTGCCACCGGCAAAACTGAGTTTTGGCTCATCACAAAGGCTTTTTTTAACTCCCTAATCTGTCAGGTATTCTCAGTAGCTTGTCACCGGATGCTGATGATTGTTCCTCAAATGCATTGTTACTGGCTTACACAGCAGAAATCATACCTTGTGACATTACACCGGCTAAATAGATGCATTTCACCAGTTGAAAAACAATGCCAGCTGTGCACAATGGACACGGTATGAGAAAGATTGTTCGAAGTCCAGCTCCTGGAACCGGGCACCAAGCCTCTGGCGCCGCTAGCAGAGATGGAAGAGGGTGATGGTCACAGCCACCGCCTGGAAAGTTTGCCGCGGGGAGCGCCTTGCAGGCGGTGCGTGCATCTGTCTTGAACAAGCGCTCATGCTGCAAGGTGGGTTTCTCTGGCTGGGAATTTCCCGTAGTGTTTCGTGGGCTCAGCCATCCACTGCGACCGACCCCTCTGCCTGCCCGGCGGGGCCGTGCCAGCCGAGCCCCCGAGGTGGCTCTGCAGGGCCGTGGGCTCGCTGAAGCTGCCCGGTGAGCTGGCGGGGGCCACCCTGCGGGAAGATGCCTCCGGCCCCGGGGCAGGTGGCCATGGCACAGCCCTGTCCCACGGCTGGGACAGCACAGCTTGCCGCAGGGACGCCGGGCTCGCTCCTGGCTGCGGCACAAGCACTTGTTTTGTTGGACACCGGTTCCTTTTAATCTGGATCATCTATGACTGTGTGTTAAACAATCTGAAATATTGCCACAGCTAGCAGGTGCTGGCTGGTCTTAAAAGCAGGGTAAGAATCCTTGGAGCGTCTTATTCTTGATAAATATTTCAGTATGCTGGGCTCCTCAGGCTTCTCTGGGAACGGCACAGACTAATTTCATTCCCACAAACAACTGTAGAGCATGGTCTGTTCAGTCATTTACACTCTTCAGAGTTTTCACTTGTATTAATAACTGATCACTCCTATGAAACACGCTTTCCCCCCAAGCCTGATGTTTCTTCTGTAGAGACCAATTAACTAAGACACTGTTTTCTTCAAGGAGCCAGTAATTTTAATTACTAGTAAAATGATTTGCAGACAGTTGGCCTTGTAAAGAGCTTCCTAAACTATAAAAGTTTCGCCTTCAAAAGCTTTCTGATTTTTTTTTGTTGTTGTTTCCATGTGTCCACTTCTGACACTTTCTGAGGAGGTGCTCAGAGATCAAACCAAGCAGCTCGGGTGTAAGCAAGTACACAGACATATTAATGCAACTGAAGTCTCTTTTCCTTGCTCTATTTTCTGTTCTCTAATCCAGTTTAGTTTCTGGTTTTCAGGTACAGCTGCAGTATCAATGAAAAGTCATCACATGATTGTTTAAAGCAAGGGAAAAAGACACAGTGCAGAGGTATTTGTAAGAAAAAATTCCTGTTGAAAAGGAAACAATGCTGGAACTGATTTTTCAGATATGACAATTGATGCTTTCTGCTCTGTTAGTGTCTCTTACATGGTATGGAATATACCTTTGGCCAGTTTGGGTCAGCTGCCCTGGCTGTGTCCCCTCCCAACTTCTTGTGCCCCTCCAGCCTTATTGCTGGCTGGGCATGAGAAGCTGAAAAATACTTGACTTAGTCTAAACATCACTTAGCAACAACTGAAAACATCAGTGTGTTATCAACATTCGTCTCATACTGAAACCAAAATATAACACTATACCAGCTACTAGAAAGAAAATTAACTCTATCCCAGCCAAAACCAGGACAACTTCTAGAAAGAATATGACGTATTTCCTCCAGTTGCAAAGAAATCTGGATGTTGTTTTGTTGCAGTTTGCAATGCGGACATTGAATTGTTACAGTGGAAGGACAACAGAATGGCTGAGTTCAGTGTGTGTTGGCAACATCGTGTTTGACCTGGAGGGTGTTAGCACCAAGGTCAGAACTGTTTGTTAGCAATGAACTGGAATTTGTTGAGGGGACATCCCCCCCCCCCCCCTCCCGCCCCCGCCGGCGCCGCTCCCCTGCGTCGCTGGCTTCAA